AGATTTTAGTGTCCTGAAAAGCCGCCAGCACTTGAAGTAATTTAATCACCTGAACAAAAAATGCCACCCTTTGTAGCTTTTCAGTGTGGAGACAAATCTTGTTACACCATTTTTGACCCAGTTTCTGGCCAAATGTTGCGAAAACTTAGTGTTGATAATCGAAGTAGCAATCCTCTTGCTATCTTGTTTTCACTCTTTCTGCCTTGATTTGAACCATTGACGCGAAATAAAATTTGCACCAGCTATGAGAAAACTGATACAAAACACACTTTGCATATAATTCGCAAAATGTGTTCAATGGAAGCATGATCATACAATGACTAAAATTACTGGGAGTATCTTCAGGAGCTTTTCGAAGTAAATTCGGGACTTCTCGTCTCTTACAATCTGTCGGTCTCAGTGCGTAACGCGATCGAGGAAGAAGTTGTGAGAGCCACGCTCAAGGTCAGGCTCAATAAGGTGAACAGACCCACTTCCCTAAGTGTGTACGAAGTCGAAGGACAGAACTTCGAGGTGAATTCGTATGATATTTTTTGGAAGTAGTAGCTGAGCTTTGATAATCAGACCCGAAGGTTGCTTGGATCAAGGACGATCCATGTCTCTGAGGACGCACGACCCACGGAATGGATCGACCTTGACGTTGTGTCTGCTCTTCGCAATGGAAAAGATACGGTAGGTTTGAGGCTTGACTAAAAATCTGACGGTAGTGCGTTGAATCTCACCATAAATGATGGAAGAAATCTACACTTCATTGAAGTCTTATGTTGTTGAGTTGGATGTCAAACCATTTCAAATTATCCAAAACATCTTCGCAGGTCGCATTCCTCATCGAACATCCTGATGCCACAATCTATTCGTCGGAACCGCACTCCATGTCTTCACTTCCGATGACACGGCATACAAGCCTTCCGTTGATTGTTTACAGGTGCGTCTCTGCTCTGCTATCACATAGTTGACCTAGAGATAAGGACAATTCTTGACCACATGGCTTTTGCGGAGAACTATATCCCGTAGTAAAGCAGTCAGTTCAGTTGTTCTGAAGTGAGGGCCTCAGTTGAGTTCTGTAAGGTGAAGCTTCCCTTTTTAGTGCTGTAAGAATGAAAATGAACTGACAGTTGGGCCCATTTAGTTGCCGCGACGCCGGCTCACACTCGTAAGTCCACGTTCAGTTGATACGTCGACTGACGGAATAGTGTGGGAATGATGAGACAGGAAAAGGCCCGTAGTAAAGCTAATTCAGTTTAGGTGAACTGAACTGAAGCTCTCATCCGAG